TCAAGTGTATGGGTGGTCCCTGGGGGCGTGGTGAAGTATGGGTGGTCCCTGGGGGCGTGGTGAAGTAAGGGTGGTCCCTGTGGGTGTGGTGAAGTATGGGTGGTCCCTGGGGGCGTGGTGAAGTATGGGTGGTCCCTGGGGGCGTGGTGAAGTATGAGTGGTCCCTGGGGGCGTGGTGAAGTATGAGTGGTCCCTGGGGGCGTGCTGAAGGGTATGGGTGGTCCCTGGGGGCGTGGTGAAGTATGGGTGGTCCCTGGGGGCGTGGTGAAGTATGGGTGGTCCCTGGGGGCGTGCTGAAGGGTATGGGTGGTCCCTGGGGGCGGGGTAAAGTATGGGTGGTCCCTGGGGGCGTGGTAAAGTATGGGTGGTCCCTGGGGGCGTGGTGGAGTATGGGTGGTCCCTGGGGGCGTGATGAAGGGTATGAGTGGTCCCTGGGGGCGTGGTGGAGTATGGGTGGTCCCTGGGGGCGTGATGAAGGGTATGAGTGGTCCCTGGGGGCGTGGTGAAGTATGGGTGGTCCCTGGGGGCGGGGTGAAGTATGGGTGGTCCCTGGGGGCGTGATGAAGTATGGGTGGTCCCTGGGGGCGTGATGAAGTATGGGTGGTCCCTGGGGGCGTGATGAAGTATGGGTGGTCCCTGGGGGCGTGGTGAAGTATGGGTGGTCCCTGGGGGCGTGATGAAGTATGGGTGGTCCCTGGGGGCGTGAAGAAGTATGGGTGGTCCCTGGGGGCGTGAAGAAGTATGGGTGGTCCCTGGGGGCGGGGTAAAGTGTGGGTGGTCCCTGGGGGCGTGAAGAAGTATGGGTGGTCCCTGGGGGCGGGGTGAAGTATGGGTGGTCCCTGGGGGCGGGGTAAAGTGTGGGTGGTCCCTGGGGGCGTGATGAAGTATGGGTGGTCCCTGGGGGCGGGGTAAAGTGTGGGTGGTCCCTGGGGGCGTGATGAAGTATGGGTGGTCCCTGGGGGCGTGCTGAAGTATGGGTGGTCCCTGGGGGCGGGGTAAAGTGTGGGTGGTCCCTGGGGGCGTGATGAAGTATGGGTGGTCCCTGGGGCGTGATGAAGTATGGGTGGTCCCTGGGGGCGTGATGAAGTATGGGTGGTCCCTGGGGGCGTGCTGAAGTATGGGTGGTCCCTGGGGGCGTGATGAAGGGTATGGGTGGTCCCTGGGGGCGTGATGAAGTATGGGTGGTCCCTGGGGGCGTGATGAAGTATGGGTGGTCCCTGGGGGCGGGGTGAAGGGCAAGACACAAGGGCTAACTACGGTAGTCCACTAAGAGAGGTCTTGTGGCTCGTCCATCACAATAAGTTCTCCGGAGTGCAAGCATTTGCAACACAAGGTATACGGTCGTTCACTACACACACCAAACAACACACATGTTGATCGAACACTCAACAAACTACGACTGTGGCAACTCAAACCGTCCGCCGGCTCGGCTTGACAATCGCCAAATGGTCGTTAGTGCTGGCGTCAAACCTCCCCTGTTTTAGGAATGGAAAGCATGTTTACAAATGACTCATAGCTGATTACGTTCGAGCAGTTCTTGAACAGTGTTTCGCTCTCTTCTTGCGTTTGACTGTCACCTATGTGAATGCTTCACTCACGTAAAGCCGTCCCGCAGCAGCCCGTCCTAATAAACCAAGACCAAAATGCTCGTGTATGCAGCTGCCAAACCCCGTGTTCATGAATGATAAACGGTCTGCGCACGACTGGTGACGTTCGACTATTTCTCGAACAGTGTCTGTCTGGGGACCTGTGCTCGAAGCACAACGCTGTAAATGCTTCACTCACTCATTCGACTACAAATAATCGCCAACAGAACCTAAACTCCTAACTTAACTTATGCCTCCTAACTTTACATAGAAATTTAAAATATAATAATATGAACCTATATATATGAGAACAAATCAATTTTTAATACAGAGTAGGTTAAAATTAATGACTGCGTCTTAGGGTAGAGGAGGGGCGGACTGCCTGCCGCCTCTCTAACGAGCCTGACCTGAGGACGGATGGCATTCCAACCACGGATACAATGCACAAATTATGGACTTTTGTATCTCTTTAGAAGCTCACGTTTGAATTTAACTAGGTGAGTAAAGAGAGAGAATAAGGGTGTGTGAGGAGCGCCAGGTGTACCAGCGGTAGTTTAGGTATGTGACAGTACAGCCCGCGTCAGTGTCAGTGTACAGTGTAGTGTACTGTACGTCAGTGTACAGTGTAGTGTACTGTACGTCAGTGTACAGTGTAGTGTACTGTACGTCAGTGTACAGTGTAGTGTACTGTACGTCAGTGTACAGTGTAGTGTAGTGTACTGTACGTCAGTGTACAGTGTAGTGTAGTGTACTGTACGTCAGTGTACAGTGTAGTGTACAGTGTAGTGTAGTGTACTGTACGTCAGTGTACAGTGTAGTGTAGTATACTGTACGTCAGTGTACAGTGTAGTGTAGTGTACTGTACGTCAGTGTACAGTGTAGTGTAGTATACTGTACGTCAGTGTACAGTATAGTGTACAGTGTAGTGTACTGTACGTCAGTGTACAGTGTAGTGTAGTGTACTGTACGTCAGTGTACAGTGTAGTGTAGTGTACTGTACGTCAGTGTACAGTGTAGTGTACAGTGTAGTGTAGTATACTGTACGTCAGTGTACAGTACAGTGTAGTGTACTGTACGTCAGTGTACAGTGTAGTGTACAGTGTAGTGCACAGTGTAGTGTAGTGTAATGTACGTCAGTGTACAGTGTAGCAGCGTCAGTGAACAGCCCATTTGTACAGTGTACTCGGTACTGTTGTGTCGGCGTACAGCCGTGTCAACGTACAGCCGTGATTCAGGAAGCTGTTCGTGCCAGCAGCACGCATTGATTGTGTCCACGGGAGGCGGCTAGTTTATTGTGCACCCCATACTCATCCTATGAGCGGTAGCACATACAGCATTACAGAGGGCACAAAAGGTCTGTATCAGACCTCAACTGTGATAATTACATTAACAATTTCATCTATCCTTCACACCTTGCAATTACAATGTCAGCTAGGGGCCTCGTAGCCTGGTGGATAGCGCGCAGGACTCGTAATTCTGTGGCGCGGGTTCGATTCCCGCACGAGGCAGAAACAAATGGGCAAAGTTTCTTTCACCCTGAATGCCCCTGTTACCTAGCAGTAAAATAGGTACCTGTGTGTTAGTCAGCTGTCACGGGCTGCTTCCTGGGGGTGGAGGCCTGGTTGAGGACCGGGCCGCGGACACTAAAGCCCCGAAATCATCTCAAGATAACCTCAAGATAGTTACACAGGATGTTCTATTTCAAGAGCTATATATTTACAGTAAGTCATTATACATTAATGGTAGGTCTTATCGCTAATACATAATTGTTTGAGCAATGGAGATATTACAGTCATATTGGAGCTGCTGTTTGTTGATATCAGTCTTCACAATACACTACTTGTTTCTTAATCTCATATGTCGTTATCTACTGGAAGCGAAATATGGATACAGTGCAAGGATTTCAGGTACTTTATCCTTAGTAATAAGATAGGTTGCCATATCATGCAACGTGAGTTTAGATTTATTTCTAAAATGGCTCAATTTTACTACAATTCAAGATATAGTGTTCGAGTGTGTGTCCCTGTCTTTGTCCACACACTTTACACTTTACTTCATCTAGATCCCTATACAAGCCGAACTGCAGAGATACTTGTAGCCAAGTATCTCTGGCACGAGCTGTGACAACATCTGTTAGTCTACTGACTTTGTTACTTGCCCCATACACATGTTTTACTTCACACATTTCACTGTGAAAAGCAATGGACCTGCTAGTTCCAGTTTGCACTCTTCTACTTTCCTCAAATTCATCCAAGAGTTCTCGTCTAATGACACTTTTAAGGGACCTATTTGATAACTCAAGATTCCGTTCGATACTGTCTTTATTTACTGCAGCCTTAGCAAGGGCGTCAACTTTGTCATGTTCCTGCATGCCAATGTGAGAAGGAATCTACAACATTTTGATATTTACCCCCTTATTAAGTATGCTTATATATCTATGTCTGGCTTCTGAGACAAGCACGTTATTACTTGATTGCAAACTATTTATTGCTCGTAGTGAGGAAAGGGAGTCGGAAATAATTAAGCTGTCTACTTCAGTGTTGTCAATAATTTCGAGTGCCACCAGTATTGCTACCAATTCAGCTTGCATTGTGGACGCCCAGTTACTAGTTTTTATATTTCTTTGAATTGTGCTGCCATCGGGCTGATGAGCAATAACAGCACTTCCTGCCCTCCCTGTAGCTGTATTAAGTGATCCGTCAGTGTATATGGTCTGTGCCATGTTGGTTTCAGCTTGTATATTGTGAATGTGTTCTATGGTGCTTAATTTAGCAGCAAGCTGAGCATGAGGGTTGCTTGTGATTAGTTTCTTGGTGGGGTATGCAGGGGTCAGGATGTCAAAAGGTACTTTCTGCCAGGGTGGAAGGAAGTGCTGTACTCTTTCATCTGTATATACATCGTGCAGTTCCATCATTTTAATATGAGTGGCTGTTCTTTGAATCCATTTAGACTCGCTGGTACCATTACATACGTGTTCTAACAGTTCAACTGACACGATGTTGTTTTTGTTATCACGCAGCAGCTTTAGTCCCATCATAAGATTGATTTCAAATATTCTATCTCGAATGCTAAGTATATTTAATTGTTTCCGCATGTTGAGAACTTTGGTAGTTATAGGACAGCCAAGTATAATTCTGAGTGCTTCATTTTGCATTTTTTTTAGTCTATTAATACTTTTGCCATTTTGCAGGACTGAAGCTGGTGCATGATAGTCAATCAGAGATCATATATATGCTATGTACATAATTTTTGTTATTTTAATATTAACATCGTATTTAGAGCGGTACCCCACTACAGTTCTGAGAGCCTTGAGTCTGTCTCTACATTGTTGATGTAACTTATTGACTGCAGTTGAGGTACAAGGGACAGAGACACCAAGGTATTTGAAAGAAGAGACATAGTCTATTGGTATGTTATCTATCTTAAGTTTTCGTGGTCCACTTTTGCGGTTGCCAATTTGTCTGTTAAATACCTTAGTATAAGCAGCGTTGATTACAAGACCAAGGCTCTCACAAGCTGTATGTATACAATTTAAGACTGCATTTCGCTGTATGCAAAAGGATGTCGTCTGCATAACTGATAGTGATGTTTGCCGGACCAGTTGGGACTGATTTTAGTAAGGTATTAATTAGAACATTAAACAAGGTAGGACATAGTACGCCTCCTTGAGGGGTGCCTAGTTGCATTAATTTAGTGTCACTTCACTAAGCTGGCGAGGAGTTCTTCACTAAGCTGGCGAGGAGTTCTTCACTAAGCTGGCGAGGAGTTCTTCACTAAGCTGGCGAGGAGTTCTTCACTAAGCTGGCGAGGAGTTCTTCACTAAGCTGGCGAGGAGTTCTTCACTAAGCTGGCGAGTTCTTCACTAAGCTGGCGAGGAGTTCGAGGAGCAGCACGCCGCCGCCAGCCAGACAGCCCAGCAGCAGCACGTAGAAGGGACCTTCGAAATGCTCCAGGTTGAGCACCACCTGATCCTTCTCGCCCCTCGCCTCCTCCTCCCCTTCACCGCTGCCTCCGCGCGCCTGCCGCCTCAGCGCCTGCCGCCTCAGCGCCTGCTCTTCGAAGATGATGCTCTGAAAGGAAAAAACTAAATATTGCGTGTTATTCATCTAAAATTGCGACGATGTTTCCAGGATCGTCCGTGGCGCCTCACATGGCCAGGACCTAAAGGTGCGCGACGGATCGAACCCTCGTCGCTTCCAGGTTGTGCTTACATGTGTGAGCTGGGTTGTGTTCAGCTGTGTTCTGCTCATAGCAAAATTATTGATATAAAATAGTATAAAAGTATCTCAAATAGGGTATTTATATAAAAAAAGCATATTTTAAGATCAAAATAGCATATTTTTATCTAAAAATAGCATATTTTTATCTAAAAATAGCATATAGCTTTATCCAAAATCTCCTATTTATATATAAAACCGCATATTTGCATACTGGACGTCCCGGTGTAAACAGTACAGGTACGCACCTTGAGCCATTCCTGCACGAAGCCACCCTCCACAACCCGGCTGATCAGCTCGTCAAACCTGCAAAAATATATATATATATAGCACGCACGGCTGAACCACGATGAGCCTCAAACCTCAATTATATTGGCTTTAATATTTTCTCATTGATACATCAAGTTCTTCAAATTTTGATTGGGCATATAATTATCCATATCCACTAAGAGTATATTGTGACATTTTTTTTTTTTTTTTTTTTTGAGATATATACAAGAGTTGTTACATTCTTGTAGAGCCACTAGTACGCGTAGCGTTTCGGGCAAGTCCTTAATCCTATGGTCCCTGGAATACGATCCCCTGCCGCGAAGAATCGTTTTTTCATCCAAGTACACATTTTACTGTTGCGTTAAACAGAGGCTACAGTTAAGGAATTGCGCCCAGTAAATCCTCCCCGGCCAGGATACGAACCCATGACATAGCGCTCGCGGAACGCCAGGCGAGTGTCTTACCACTACACCACGGAGACTGACGTAGTGGTAATCTGAAAACAGAGCAGTGGATATTCTGGCTGGTGTTGTGCCAATCACATTAAATAAAACAAAGAAAAATAAATAAACACTGTGAGAGCTGCGGGTAAAACAAAGAGAACAAACACATAAATATTTAATATAAGCAAATGACTTTAATAACAAACAAAAATGAACAAATCCACAAGGGCCGTGACGAGGATTCGAACCTGCGTCCGGGAGCATCCCAGACACTGCCTTAATCGACTGAGCTACGACAGGGTTAAAAGAGTTGAAACCGAAGTTCTACTGAACTTACTGGATTGTGGATTTATTCATTTGATGCATCACGTTAGTGTGATCTCTGTGTGTGTGAAACAAAACAATGCCTCGTTTCCCACCAAACACACACCGAAACTACGACGTTGGTGCAACGTTCGAACAAGTTTTAACACCTCCTAACCAGTTATAACAACCAATATAGCAAGTTGTAACAACGTTCTAATACGTCATAAACACGTTAAGCCAAGATGTAACAACTTTATTTCAAGTTGTAACAAGCGGAAAATAGAGACAATTACGGTTTGTATTTCCAGGGTCTCAACTTGGCGAGAACACAAACTAAAATATAAAAGATATATAAACATGTGATCTTATCTTGAGGTTATCTTGAGATGATTTCGGGGCTTTAGTGTCCCCGCGGCCCGGTCCTCGACCAGGCCTCTTCGTTGCTGGACTGGTCAACCAGGTCAGCTCGCATATAGAACTGGCAGGAGTTTATAGATAGTTATCTTGAGGTTATCTTGAGATGATTTCGGGGCTTTTTAGTGTCCCGGCGGCCCGGTCCTCGACCAGGCCTCCACCCCCAGGAAGCAGCCCGTGACAGCTGACTAACACCCAGGTACCTATTTTACTGCTATGATGGTTACGTTAATGCCAAAATGAGAGGTACAAAACAATGCAATGTACAAAAGTTGTACGTGTCTACTGTTTCCTGGGAAGGCTACATTATATGTTACTGCTTGAGAGCACGAAGGGTATTACGACCACTAGCCCATTGATGAAGATTAAGCCACCCCAAAAGGTGGCACGGGCATGAATAGCCCGTAAGTGGTGGCCCTTTGGAGCCATTACCAGTATCATTAGCTGATACTGGAGATCTGTGGAGGTGCGACTGCACCCTGCGTGACGGGAGATGTCTCCCGGATGAATGTGTTAAGATGAAGATGAAGCCACCCAAAAGGTGGCACGGGCATGAATAGCCCGTAAGTGGTGGCCCTTTGGAGCCATTACCAGTATCATTAGCTGATACTGGAGATCTGTGGAGGTGCGACTGGCACCTTACAGAGTGGTCGTGACCTCTCGAGGACTAGCTGTTGTTGTTGTTGTTTAAGATTCGCTTCCTGAAACAAAAAGTTCCAAATAGCACGGGCTATGGTGAGCCCGTAGCCTTGAGGATTAGCCGTCGATGAGGTGCTTATATATGACAGCCAGACCGAGTGTAGATGGCGCTGATGTTACCGGTAACTATTGGCCGGCTGTCTTAAACAAGCAGTTAGTGGCTGGTCGACCGGCGAGTGGCGCTGGCCCCAGACAACAGGTGTCCAGGGGCCAGATTCACGAAAGCACTTACGCAAGTACTTACGAACGTGTACATCTTTCCTCAATCTTTGACGGCTTTGGTTACATTTATTAAACAGTTTACAAACATGAAAACTTCCCAATCAACTGTTGTTATTGTTATAAACAGCCTCCTAGTGCTTCCGAGCTCATTGACTGTTTAATAATTGGAAACAAAGCCGCCAAAGATTGAGAAAAGATGTACAGGTTCGTAAGTGTTTGCGTAAGTGCTTTCGTGAATCTGGCGCCAGGTGTCTCGGGTACTAGAGGGTGGAGGGGGGGCAAGGGGGGGGGGATCTGTCTAGATACAGAGGTGTCTGAGCACGAATTGTTGTTATCGTTGATGTTGAGTCCTTATATAGCAGCACGCAGATACGTTGCAGGCGATGAGTCACAATAACGTGGCAAAAGTATATTGACCAGACCACACACTAGACGGTGAAGGGACGACGACGTTTCGCCTTGAGAAACGACTTGAGAATTGTCCAGGAGGGACCGAAACGTCGTCGTCCCTTCACCTTCTAGTGTGTGGTCTGGTCAATATGCAGATACGTTAGTGATAGGTTGTAAAGTGAACAGGCAGGATCTTCCGCCTAAGCAGAAGATTACCGTAACAATATATATGTATACTCACCATTTAAAAAGAAAAGAGGGACTGGGTGAATCCAGTACTGGACATCCAGTACTGGACATCCAGTACTGGACATCCAGGACTGGACATCCAGGACTGGACATCCAGTACTGGACATCCAGGACTGGACATCCAGTACTGGACATCCAGGACTGGACATCCAGTACTGGACATCCAGGACTGGACATCCAGTACTGGACATCCAGGACTGGACATCCAGTACTGGACATCCAGGACTGGACATCCAGGACTGGACATCCAGGACTGGACAACCAGTACTGGACATCCAGTACTGGACATCCAGGACTGGACATCCAGGACTGGACATCCAGGACTGGACATCCAGGACTGGACATCCAGTACTGGACATCCAGGACTGGACAACCAGTACTGGACATCCAGTACTGGACATCCAGGACTGGACATCCAGGACTGGACATCCAGGACTGGACATCCAGGACTGGACATCCAGTACTGGACATCCAGTACTGGACATCCAGTACTGGACATCCAGGACTGGACATCCAGTACTGGACATCCAGGACTGGACATCCAGGACTGCACATCCAGGACTGGACATCCAGTACTGGACATCCAGGACTGGACATCCAGTACTGGACATCCAGTACTGGACATCCAGGACTGGACATCCAGGACTGGACATCCAGGACTGGACATCCAGGACTGGACATCCAGGACTGGACATCCAGGACTGGACATCCAGGACTGGACATCCAGGACTGGACATCCAGGACTGGACATCCAGTACTGGACATCCAGGACTGGACATCCAGGACTGGACATCCAGGACTGGACATCCAGGACTGGACATCCAGGACTGGACATCCAGGACTGGACATCCAGTACTGGACATCCAGGACTGAACATGTAGTAGAGACTATCCGCTATACTCACCTTGGCTTATAAGGAGCATACTGTTGCATGGGCCAGGCTATTCTCTCCTGGAGGAGCTCGAAGCCTGGCAGGTGGACGAGGGGCTGGCCCTTGGAGTCTGTGTACTTGATGGCGATGAGTAGCCGGGTGGTGATGCTGTTGTCCCAAGTGGCCAGCTTGCCCTTGACCACCTCATGGAGGATCTCCTCCAGAGAGTCGCGCCACTGCACTCCTTGACGCAGGGCGATCAGCACCGGGTCGTGCGTCTCCTCCAGTAGGTCGTTCTGAATGCCGCCGAAGAACACCTTCAGGGTAACAAGAGAGAGAGGAGAGAGGTAAACAATGTGGGGTAAACACACACACATGTTCATACGTCTCTCTCTCTCTCTCTCTCTCTCTCTCTCTCTCTCTCTTCCCCCCACCCCAGCACCTACCTTAGCCCAGCCAATATCGGAGGTGACGAGCTGGTGGAGGTTCTGTATGGGCCTCTGGAGGCCTGGAGTGATGAGGAAGGAGGTGAGGGAGGAGGAGTAGGAGATGCCGATGATCATGCAGAAGATGAGCCAGAACCCGGAGAACACCCTGCCTGGCACCACCTTCATGCCTCGCTTCGTGCCTCGCTGCTCCATCGCCCAAGGAGTAATGAGTGCCAACATTGTGAGGAAATTCTATAATACTTATCTTGAGGTTATCTTGAGGTGATTTCGGGGCTTTTTAGTGTCCCACGCGGCCCGGTCCTCGACCAGGCCTCCACCCAAAGGAAGCAGCCCGTGACAGCTGACTAACACCCAGGTACCTATTTTACTGCTAGGTAACTTCGTTACAAAGTTTTTTTGTTTTTTTTTAAGGAACTTCAAGAGTTAGCTGACGATTATAGGTCCTCATATACATAGGCTCATGCATACATACATAGGCTCATGCATACATACATAAACACTCATACACCCCTTCAACACCCCCCCCCCCCTATCACACATAGGTTTGCTCTAGGGGCCTCGCGGCTGAGTGGACAGCACTCTGGGATCATAATCCTAAGGGCCCGAGTTCGATCCCCGGTGGAGGCGGAAACAAATGGGCAGAGTTTCTTTCACTCTGTTGCCCCCTGTTCACTTAGCAATAAATAGGTACCTGGGAGTTAGACAGCTGCTACGGGCTGCTTCCTGGGTGTGTGTGAGAGTGTACATGTGTTAGAGAGATATATGTGTAGTAGAAATAATGTAACAAAACTAAATTGGTTAGACAAGCGGGATCCAAGAGCTAATAGCTCGATTCTGCAGTTACAAATAGTGAGTACATAGACACACATACACACACACACACACACATACTCAAAATACACCTGAAACACACACACACACACACACATATATATACTCAAAATACACCTGAAATACAAACACACACACACACACACACACACACACACACACACACACACACACACACACACACACACACACACACACACACACACAACACACCTGAAACAAACACACACACACACACAACACACCTAACACACCTGAAACACAGGCTCGACCACAAACATGGCAGCGTTTTTAATCTTCTTGAACCAGGTGGCTCCGTGTGTATTAGTGAGGAGGGCAGAGAGGCGAGCCACAGCACACAGGAAGGGTGCAGCCACACCCACAGCCACACCTACCCCCAGCCACACCTGCCATGTGAACGGTCTAGAAGGCAGAGAGGAAAACAGTGAAACGGCAGATGGGGATTATAGGGATTTATGGGCTACCAGTTTAAGATTATAGGGATTTACTGGGTTGGCAGTTTAAGATTATAGGGATTTATTGGCTTGGCAGTTTAAGATTATAGGGATTTACTGGGTTGGCAGTTTAAGATTATAGGGATTTACTGGGTTGGCAATTTAAGATTATAGGGATTTATTGGGTTGGCAGTTTAAGATTATAGGGATTTATTGGGTTGGCAGTTTAAGATTATAGGGATTTATTGGCTTGGCAGTTTAAGATTATAGGGATTTATTGGGTTGGCAGTTTAAGATTATAGGGATTTATTGGGTTGGCAGTTTAAGATTATAGGGATTTATTGGCTTGGCAGTTTAAGATTATAGGGATTTATTGGGTTGGCAGTTTAAGATTATAGGGATTTATTGGCTTGGCAGTTTAAGATTATAGGGATTTATTGGGTTGGCAGTTTAAGATTATAGGGATTTATTAGGTTGACAGAAGGGTATTATGGGGGTTTTATGGCGAGTGGCAAAGGAGGAATATATAAGTAATATTTAAAATTCCAAAACCAGGGCACTGTTGGGATTTATTAACAAATTAAGTTAGAGTTATAAGGGTTAACCCCTAACACCCTCCCACACCACTGCTAACACTCTCCCACACCACTGCTAACACTCTCCCACACCACTGCTAACACCCTCCCACACCACTACTAACACTCTCCCACACCACTGCTAACACTCTCCCACACCACTGCTAACACTCTCCCACACCACTGCTAACACTCTCCCACACCACTGCTAACACTCTCCCACACCACTGCTAACACTCTCCCACACCACTGCTAACACTCTCCCACACCACTGCTAACACTCTCCCACACCACTGCTAACACTCTCCCACACCACTGCTAACACTCTCCCACACCACTGCTAACACTCTCCCACACCACTGCTAACACTCTCCCACACCACTGCTAACACTCTCCCACACCACTGCTAACACTCTCCCACACCACTGCTAACACTCTCCCACACCACTGCTAACACTCTCCCACACCACTACTAACACTCTCCCACACCACTGCTAACACTCTCCCACACCACTGCTAACACTCTCCCACACCACTGCTAACACTCTCCCACACCACTGCTAACACTCTCCCACACCACTGCTAACACTCTCCCACACCACTGCTAACACCCTCCCACACCACTGCTCTCTCCCACACCACTGCTAACACTCTCCCACACCACTGCTCTCTCCCACACCACTGCTAACTCTCTCTAAACTCTTGTTATCTAACACTCCCCTCTCGCTACCTACCTAACAAAGACCTTCACTGACCTGCCAGCCCCACCCACCTGACTGGACCTAGCCACCGCGGCAAGGGCTTGGCCCTCGGGGTGACCAGCTCGGAGGCGTCGTAGACGAAGGGCTGGCAGAAGTCCACGTACAGCTCACGTTGGGCTGAGAACGTAATGTCACTGACGGCCCAGTCGGCTTGCTCGTGTATCACCATACCTGCGTGATGATGGAATACTTGCTATACAATGTGTGGGAACGTGTGTATAACCTAACCTTGAAACAATGAACAAATCTACAAGGGCCGTGACGAGGATTCGAACCTGCGTCCGGGAGCATCCCAGACACTGCCTTAATCGACTGAGCTACGACAGGGTTAAAAGGGTTGAAACCAAAGTTTAAACACGTTAGTGTGATCTCTGTGTGTGATGTCTTGAAACAATCCAGCTATCATACTTTTTTAGCTATCATACCTTTTTAGCTATTTTTTAACTACTTTTTAGCTATCATACCTTGTAATATGTTTATTAAGTTAACTACTTTATGTCATATAATAGGAAGCAATTCAGTAGAGCACAGACAATTGGTCCCAATATTCCTTATTTTCCCCCTTGCTACTGCATCTGTGAGGAATGACAGCTCATATAGGTATTGAATGTTTGCAACACCGTATCCACCTATTGTCGTACTACCCACAATAACTCAATTTACAGTCTCCGTGGTGTAGTGGTAAGACACTCGCCTGGCGTTCCGCGAGCGCTATGTCATGGTGTACTGGGCGCAATTCCTTAACTGTAGCCTCTGTTTAACGCAACAGTAAAATGTGTACTTGGATGAAAAAACGATTCTTCGCGGCAGGGGATCGTATTCCAGGGACCATAGGATTAAGGACTTGCCCGAAACGCTACGCGTACTAGTGGCTGTACAAGAATGTAACAACTCTTGTATATATCTCAAAAAAAAACAAAAAAAAAAACTGTCACGGTACATGAAGAATGCCTCAGCCAGTGTCAAAATTTTGGGCAAGCAGCCTTACACCTGTTTGTGCTTGACTCAATCCGAAATAAGTGGTGTACCGGTTGCAAGGAGTGATGCTTTTCCATTGAGAATGTTAAGCCTTGTCAAGTTTTTAATCAACCTAGAAAGAGATTTCCAATGAATCTGGGCTCGGCAGCTTTAATTTATATTGATGAGAGGCAAGATCATTTTAGTAATAAAGGTCTATTAAGAATGCAAAGCAGAATGAACTTAAGAAAAGCTTTTTTTCTTCTCTTAAATACATGTACGCAATTGGGGATAATCGTTAACGACCTATCAGTGAAGAGCTAACAAGACGAAACTGGTGTTCACGAAGAACTTTGCCTGTTCACGAGGCCTGAGGCAGGTTCTCGAGAACACCTTTATGAACCAATTACTGCGGTGTGTCGCGCTGGTTCAACAGGAATCGTTAAACACGACGATGGATTAAGTGACTGTGTCTGGCTTGGTCACATCTTGGTGTCATTGTCTGTGGCACTCTGACCCATGTTGTGTCTGTGGCACTCTGACCCACGTTTTGTCTGTGGCACTCTGGCCTACGTTGGGTCTGTGGCACTCTGACCTACGTTGGGTCTGTGGCACTCTGGCCCACGTTGGGTCTGTGGCACTCTGGCCCACGTTGGGTCTGTGGCACTCTGGCCCACGTTGGGTCTGTGGCACTCTGGCCCACGTTGGGTCTGTGGCACTCTGACCTACGTTGGGTCTGTGGCACTCTGGCCCACGTTGGGTCTGTGGCACTCTGACCAACGTTGGGTCTGTGGCACTCTGACCCACGTTGGGTCTGTGGCACTCTGACCCACGTTGGGTCTGTGGCACTCTGACCCACGTTGGGTCTGTGGCACTCTGGCCCACGTTGGGTCTGTGGCACTCTGACCCACGTTGTGTCTGTGGCACTCTGACCCATGTTGGGTCTGTGGCACTCTGACCCACGTTGTGTCTGTGGCACTCTGACCCATGTTGGGTCTGTGGCACTCTGACCCACGTTGGGTCTGTGGCACTCTGACCCACGTTGGGTCTGTGGCACTCTGACCCATGTTGGGTCTGTGGCACTCTGACCCACGTTGGGTCTGTGGCACTCTGGCCCATGTTGGGTCTGTGGCACTCTGACCCATGTTGGGTCTGTGGCACTCTGACCCACGTTGGGTCTGTGGCACTCTGGCCCACGTTGGGTCTGTGGCACTCTGACCCATGTTGGGTCTGTGGCACTCTGACCCACGTTGTGTCTGTGGCACTCTGGCCCACGTTGGGTCTGTGGCACTCTGACCCACGTTGGGTCTGTGGCACTCTGACCCACGTTGTGTCTGTGGCACTCTGACCCACGTTGGGTCTGTGGCACTCTGATCCACGTTGGGTCTGTGGCACTCTGATCCACGTTGTGTCTGTGGCACTCTGACCTATGTTGGGTCTGTGGCACTCTGACCCACGTTGTGTCTGTGGCACTCTGACCCACGTTGGGTCTGTGTATCACACACACACACACACACACACACACACACACACACACACACACACACACACACACACACACACACACACACACACACACACACACACACTCACCTACCAATCATGCCAGTCCAGGTGCCGTTGTGGTCTCTCCTGCCCCACTGGCTGTCCTCAGGCGCCACGTACCGGTACGTGAAGTTGGCCGTGGCAGCCAGCACGTCCAGCAGCCGTACCTCCAGTCCCCGGTACCTGTGTGGTGCCAGGTTAGGTTAGGGTACCGTCAGGGCCGTGTGGCGTGTCGGTCAAGATCCCCACCATGTGCCAGGGGATCTTGATCTCAACACCTATACCTATAATAGGTTAAATAATAATTGAAATTACGAAGCAATAAGATGCTTATCTTAACATACTAAGAAGGTTAGGTAAGGTCGGTGTTTTCTATGCAGCTTTTCAAGGTAAACTAAAATAGTCCCAATAAATTAATATGTCACATATGCACTTATTTAATAAGTCAATACTGACTATACGAAAGTCCGAGAATGGGTTGACTGCTGAGCTTACGTACGTACTTGCCCGGGCCGCTGAGGGAGAGATCAGCGTTCATGATGAAGGGGGAGTAGGTGAGGGCGGCCACGGAGAAGGTGTAGCCACGCAGGTCCGCCATCTTGTCCTCAGGGAAGAGTCTCACGTCCTGCCTGGCTCCGCCCAGGGGAAGACAGCCATCGTAAATGGATCAGAAGGCGAGCAGAAGGCTCAAGTGCAGCTTTATCTAATAACTGAAATAATATATCAGTGTTTACTACTTGTGTTTTTACGGGGGTTGAGCTTTGCTCTTTCGGCCCGCCTCTCAACTGTCAATCAACTGTTTACTAACTATTTTTTTTCCACACCACACACACACCAGGAAGCAGCCCGTGACAGCTGACTAACTCCCAGGTACCTATTTACTGCTAGGTAACAGGGGCACTTAGGGTGAAAGAAACTTTGCCCATTTGTTTCTGCCTCGTGCGGGAATCGAACCCGCGCCACAGAATTACGAGTCCTGCGCGCTATCCACCAGGCTACGAGGCCCCATACTGATCAGTATCAGTACTACCGTACTGATACTACTATCAGTACTCATAAAGAAGAAGAGGGGGTAGGGAGAGGGGAGGTCAGTGAGGGGACGTCTCCCTCGCCTCACTCCTCACACTATTCCCCTCAATAAGCACTGTAGCTCTATGCAGGCGATGAGTCACAATAACGTGGCTGAAGTATGTTGACCAGACCACACACTAGAAATTGAAGGGACGTCGTCGTCCCTTCAATTTCTAGTGTGTGGTCTGGTCAACACTGTAGCTCTGTGTATCTTTGTTACCTCTCATAAAATTAAACTCACGAGCTAAAAAAAATCAAATGAATTTTCTCATTGTGGTGTTAGAAATTGTCTAAAAGTAGCTTGTACTATTAACAGTAGAACTTAAATTAATATAAAAAATTAGACGGAGGTAAATACGGGAAGCTTCCTTTACATCGTGGCACTTAGTTGCTGGTTCAGGCGAAGCTCTAGTGATCCTGTAGACAGAACTGTTGTGGTTTAAGATTCGTTACTTGGAACAAAAAGTTCCAAGTAGCACGGGCTATGGTGAGCCCGTAGTGAACTTTTGGCCGACATTCCGTACTGGCCGAATGGAGATCTTTTCACTCTGTCCTGCGGGTCATTCTGGTGCAAAAGAGTATAAAGCATTCTGAGCCTCGACTAAAAATTACCTCGAGGTCATTCCAGTTCAAGTTGAGAATTTAGTCTCCTCTGTACCAGTAAGTCGTGAAAGAGACGTTTAAAATAGCCCCTATTAAGCCGCTGCGAAATGTGACCCCTTGCCCCATATATGCGTCGTCCAAGGACCCAGCAGGACCTTACCCACACACCCCACCACACCCAACTCCAGGGTTAATCTAACGTAACGTAATCGTAATCTAATCTAACGTAACGTAATCGTAATCTAATCTAATCTAACGTTAATCTATCTAACGTAACCTGGTGGAATCGACGTTAACTTTAGCATATCCTGGTCGCTGGGATAAGGGAGCGACTGAGCGCCTTCCTAAGGGGAAGGAAGCGCTTGGCACATATTAGCGACAATAAGTACTAACCAACACGTCTTGGAAATGTCTAAAGCATATCTTGAGGTTATCTTGAGATGATTTCGGGGCTTTTTAGTGTCCCCGCGGCCCGGTCCTCGACCAGGCCTCCACCCCCAGGAAGCAGCCCGTGACAGCTGACTAACACCCAGGTACCTATTTTACTGCTAGGTAACAGGGGCATAGGGTGAAAGAAACTCTGCCCATTGTTTCTCGCCGGCGCCTGGGATCGAACCCAGGACCACAGGATCACAAGTCCCGCGTGCTGTCCGCTCGGCCGACCGGCTCCCTTAAATGTCTTAAGCATGTGGCAAGTTCTTCGCCTGGCGAATGACACCTCTCCCAGTATACCAGGGAATACCCAGCACCAGCTCTAATGTATGTGAAGTATATTTTGCATAAACGAAGTCATAAGCAAGGTATGTTGTTGTTGTTTAAGATTCGCTACTGGGAACAAAAATTCCAAGTAGCACGGGCTATGGTGAGCCCGTAAACTGCCTTGAGCAAGGTAAGGTAATTATCGAGAGAGAGCACTGAACCAGTATGACTATATAGCACTTGGAAGGGATATGATATCATGACAGGAGCTCGGAAATGATAGCCGAGGGTTTAGGAAATCAGTGTTTACCTAATCCCACCATCAGGGATCGAACGCCGACCTGCAAGAAGCCAGGCCGTCGCTGTACCGACCAGTTCCAGTGGATATACCAAGTCCTCGATGCCAGTATCGAGGACTGACAGCATTAGTAAGATAGTAAGTCTGACAGCATTAGTAAGACACTAAGACTGACAGCATTAGTAAGACTGACAGCATTAGTAAGATAGTAAGTCTGACAGCATTAGTAAGACACTAAGACTGACAGCATTAGTAAGACTGACAGCATTAGTAAGATAGTAAGTCTGACAGCATTAGTAAGATAGTAAGTCTGACAGCATTAGTAAGACAGTAAGACTGACAGCATTAGTAAGATAGTAAGACTGACAGCATTAGTAAGACAGTAAGACTGACAGCATTAGTAAGATAGTAAGACTGACAGCATTAGTAAGACTGACAGCATTAGTAAGATAGTAAGTCTGACAGCATTAGTAAGATAGTAAGTCTGACAGCATTAGTAAGATAGTAAGACTGACAGCATTAGTAAGACAGTAAGACTGACAGCATTAGTAAGATAGTAAGTCTGACAGCATTAGTAAGATAGTAAGACTGACAGCATTAGTAAGACAGTAAGACTGACAGCATTAGTAAGACAGTAAGACTGACAGCATTAGTAAGAGAGTAAGACTGACAGCATTAGTAAGACAGTAAGACTGACAGCATTAGTAAGATAGTAAGACTGACAGCATTAGTAAGATAGTAAGACTGACAGCATTAGTAAGATAGTAAGACTGACAGCATTAGTAAGATAGTAAGACTGACAGAATTAGTAAGATAGTAAGACTGACAGCATTAGTAAGATAGTAAGACTGACAGCATTAGTAAGATAGTAAGACTGACAGCATTAGTAACACAGTAAGACTGACAGCATTAGTAAGATAGTAAGACTGACAGCATTAGTAAGATAGTAAGACTGACAGCATTAGTAAGATAGTAAGACTGACAGCATTAGTAAGATAGTAAGACTGACAGCATTAGTAAGATAGTAAGACTGACAGCATTAGTAAGACAGTAAGACTGACAGCATTAGTAAGATAGTAAGACTGACAGCATTAGTAAGATAGTAAGTCTGACAGCATTAGTAAGATAGTAAGACTGACAGCATTAGTAAGACACTAAGACTGACAGCATTAGTAAGACAGTAAGACTGACAGCATTAGTAAGACAGTAAGACTGACAGCATTAGTAAGACACTAAGACTGACAGCATTAGTAAGACAGTAAGACTGACAGCATTAGTAAGACACTAAGACTGACAGCATTAGTAAGATAGTAAGACTGACAGCATTAGTAAGACAGTAAGACTGACAGCATTAGTAAGACAGTAAGACTGACAGCATTAGTAAGATAGTAAGACTGACAGCATTAGTAAGACAGTAAGACTGACAGCATTAGTAAGACACTAAGTCTGACAGCATTAGTACGATAGTAAGACTGACAGCATTAGTCCCTTTTTACCTTACCAAAATGGTCGTGTATCCCCAATAATCGGTGAAATATTTGGACCATATTACATATTATTACATATTACATATTACATATAAATATCATATTACATATGATTTTTATTTCCAAGTGTTTTTAGCTGTGAGTTGTAAACAAGAAAGTAAAAAGTGTAAATATTTGTCTTGTTTTCAGGGCTAAGAAAGAAGCCCTGAAACCCTCACCCCACACGGCGGTTCCTACTCACTCACCAGAAGCCCGAAGAGGGACTCCAAGTGCCCACACGCGCCAAGGAAATTCTGGCGTCGCCGGAGAAGAGTGTGGTGGTGTACACGGACCAGGAGCCGTCCGTGTCCCTGGTGGCGGCCACCACCTGGGCCTCGAACCTGCCTCATACACGCACACACCGCGAAAAGACACGTTAATACATATTCATACATGCGTCACCACGTGTGTGTGTGTATGGAAGGCGGGGGATTTAGAGCACATACTCGACCCTGCACGCTTAACTAGGTGAATACAATTAGTTGAGAACACACAGTTATTTAAATGCTTAGATATTAAAGTGTTTTCCAATATTATATTCACTTAATGAAATAATTCTCGTGGCTATTTTGCGATAAATACTAAACAATTTAAATTATATTTTAACTCAAAATGTAAGTAAAATATTGTGAACTTTAAACTTATAATTTTTGTTGCCAAGATGAACAAAGTGTATGTTAACTTTGTGTTGAGAGATGTTTGTGTGTGTGTTTAGAGATGTTTGTGTGTGTGTTTAGAGATGTGTGTGTGTGTGTGTTGAGAGATGTTTGTGTGTGTGTTTAGTGATGTTTGTGTGTGTGTTGAGAGATGTTTGTGTGTGTGTTTAGTGATGTTTGTGTGTGTGTTTAGAGATGTGTGTGTGTGTGTGTTGAGAGATGTTTGTGTGTGTGTTTAGTGATGTTTGTGTGTGTGTTGAGAGATGTTTGTGTGTGTGTTTAGTGATGTTTGTGTGTGTGTTGAGAGATGTTTGTGTGTGTGTTGAGAGATGTTTGTGTGTGTGTTTAGTGATGTTTGTGTGTGTTGAGAGATGTTTGTGTGTGTGTTTAGAGATGTTTGTGTGTGTGTTTAGAGATGTTTGTGTGTGTGTTTAGAGATGTTTGTGTGTGTGTTGAGAGATGTTTGTGTGTGTGTTTAGAGATGTTTGTGTGTGTGTTTAGAGATGTTTGTGTGTGTGTGTTGAGAGATGTTTGTGTGTGTGTTTAGTGATGTTTGTGTGTGTGTTGAGAGATGTTTGTGTGTGTGTTTAGTGATGTTTGTGTGTGTGTTGAGAGATGTTTGTGTGTGTGTTGAGAGATGTTTGTGTGTGTGTTTAGTGATGTTTGTGTGTGTTGAGAGATGTTTGTGTGTGTGTTTAGAGATGTTTGTGTGTGTGTTTAGAGATGTTTGTGTGTGTGTTTAGAGATGTGTGTGTGTGTGTTGAGAGATGTTTGTGTGTGTGTTTAGTGATGTTTGTGTGTGTGTTGAGAGATGTTTGTGTGTGTGTTTAGTGATGTTTGTGTGTGTGTTGAGAGATGTTTGTGTGTGTGTTGAGAGATGTTTGTGTGTGTGTTTAGTGATGTTTGTGTGTGTTGAGAGATGTTTGTGTGTGTGTTTAGAGATGTTTGTGTGTGTGTTTAGAGATGTTTGTGTGTGTGTTTAGAGATGTTTGTGTGTGTGTTGAGAGATATTTGTGTGTGTGTTTAGAGATGTTTGTGTGTGTGTTTAGAGATGTTTGTGTGTGTGTGTTTAGAGATGTTTGTGTGTGTGTTTAGAGATGTTTGTGTGTGTGTTGAGAGATGTTTGTGTGTGTGTTTAGAGATGTTTGTGTGTGTGTTTAGAGATGTTTGTGTGTGTGTTTAGAGATGTTTGTGTGTGTGTTGAGAGATGTTTGTGTGTGTTTAGAGATGTTTGTGTGTGTGTTTAGAGATGTTTGTGTGTGTGTTGAGAGATGTTTGTGTGTGTCTTGAGAGATGTTTGTGTACTCACCTAGTTGTACTCACCTAGTTGTGTTTGCGGGGGTTGAGCTCTGGCTCTTTGGTCCCGCCTCTCAACCGTCAATCAACAGGTGTACAGATTCCTGAGCCTATCGGGCTCTGTCATATCTACACTTGAAACTGTGTATGGAGTCAGCCTCCACCACATCACCCCCTAATGCATTCCATTTGTCAACCACTCTGACACTAAAAAAGTTCTTTCTAATATTGTTTGTTTGTGTGTGTGTTTAGAGATGTTTGTGTGTGTTGAGAGATCTTTGTGTGTGTCTTGAGAGATGTTTGTGTGTGTGTTTAGAGATGTTTGTGTGTGTTGAGAGATCTTTGTGTGTGTCTTGAGAGATGTTTGTGTGTGTGTTTAGAGATGTTTGTGTGTGTCTTGAGAGATGTTTGTGTGTGTGTTTAGAGATGTTTGTGTGTGTTGAGAGATGTTTGTGTGTGTGTTGAGAGATGTTTGTGTGTGTGTTGAGAGATGTTTGTGTGTGTGTTGAGAGATGTAAAAATGTATTGAAAATGAGGTTTTTCATTACATTTCCATGAGATTTGGGAACAGGAAGCTTGTTAGACTTATCAAGGTCGTCCTGGGTTACGAACAATGACTGACTACCCCCTTCCCCCCTGGATGCCACCCACAACAGCCTACTAACTCTCAGGTACATATATACTCCTGGGAAGCTGTTATGACCCCACATACACCAGTATGATCATACTGTGGCTGATGTATGATGTGTTCAAACTGTATAGTGATATCTTGGCTGATTAGCCTAGTATCACAAATATTATTACATTTATCTAATCTTTCGACAATATACTAATATAAATTGTGTATTGCCAATGTATATCTAATATAGCTATGCATATTATATTTCAATACCAAAGTTATATGCCATGTATTTATGGATACATTGGAAGTGTAGTAAATAGCAGAAACCTAATGTCATGTAGCTTGGAAAACACCATTATGTGCTTATTTTATGGAATGCTACATATTGCTGTATAATACATGATATGGGTATTATGACGTAGAATGTATACATTTAGGTATCTGGTGCTCGCATGTATACTGTGAAATATCCATGTCATTATTAAGGTCACCTGAAGTCCGGATGAAGAAGGATGGAGGAGGTTAGGTCAAGGGCGTCTCGTTCTTCACCCTCGCGGGGCATGATTAGCAGGAAGGTGTGGGCGTGTCCAGCCCACGCCCCCACGCCTCCAGCAACCAGCCACGGCCACGCCTCGTCCCCGGCTGAAGCCACCACCACCACGCCACCACACACCCGCGACTCGCTGCTCCGAGGGGCGCCCTGGTCATGTACCCCCACACAACGCAAGGTTACAGTACGCCCTGGGGTCATGTCGCGACGCCCTGGGGTCAGGTCACGACGCCCTGGGGTCAGGTCACGACGCCCTGGGGTCCGGTCACGGCACCCTGGGGTCAGGTCACGGCGCCCTGGGGTCCGGTCACGACGCCCTGGGGTCAGGTCACGCCGCCCTGGAGGTCAGGTCACGACGCCCTGGGGTCAGGTCACGACGCCCTGGGGTCAGGTCACGACGCCCTGGGGTCAGGTCACGACGCCCTAGGGTCAGGTCACGACGCCCTGGGGTCAGGTCACGGCGCCCTGGGGTCAGGTCACGACGCCCTGGGGTCAGGTCACGGCGCCCTGGGGTCAGATCACGGCGCCCTGGGGTCAGGTCACGGCACCCTGGGGTCAGGTCACGGCGCCCTGGGGTCAGGTCACGACGCCCTGGGGTCAGGTCACGACGCCCAGGGGTCAGGTCACGACGCCCTGGGGTCGGGTCACGACGCCCTGGGGTCAGGTCACGGCGCCCTGGGGTCAAGTCACGACGCCCTGGGGTCAGGTCACGACGCCCTGGGGACAGGTCACGACGCCATGGGGTCAGGTCACGCCGCCCTGGAGGTCAGGTCACGGCGCCCGGGGGTCAGCTGGGAGATATGAGTACAGAATAAAGGAACGATGCACAACAACTCTACGACCATCTGGGATTCGAACGCTGACGCCTGCAGGAAGCGAAGCTGTCGCTCTGCCAACCATTTCAAGGGGATGGTCATTGCGCTGTGAGAAGCGCAATGTGGGAAGAAATGTTGCTAATTGGCTAGTTGAGTCTTATAGACAGGTCTTTAGTTTGGAAAAGATAACGAGGGTTTGGAATAGGTGGAGGGTGATTGTGTTGGTTGTAAGGTTATATGTTGGTTGTGGGGAGGTTATATGTTGGTTGTGGGGAGGTTATATGTTGGTTGTGGGGAGGTTATATGTTGGTTGTGGGGAGGTTATATGTTGGTTGTGGGGAGGTTATATGTTGGTTGTGGGGAGGTTATATGTTGGTTGTGGGGAGGTTATATGTTGGTTGTGGGGAGGTTATATGTTGGTTGTGGGGAGGTTATATGTTGGTTGTGGGGAGGTTATATCGTGGTTGTGAGGTTATATGTTGGTTGTGGGGAGGTTATATGTTGGTTGTGGGGAGGTTATATGTTGGTTGTGGGGAGGTTATATGTTGGTTGTGGGGAGGTTATATGTTCGTTGTGGGGAGGTTATATGTTGGTTGTGGGGAGGTTATATGTTGGTTGTGGGGAGGTTATATGTTGGTTGTGGGGAGGTTATATGTTGGTTGTGGGGAGGTTATATGTTGGTTGAGAGAGGTTATGAATAGGTTATTTGGGAAACATGGGTAAATTATATTGCTGATCGTATATAACAAAATATGGTAACTTTGAGGTTTCTCTTCTGGGCAATGAAATAAGAATCAGTTCTAATCCTTTAACTGCGGCTCACACACACACCTGTCTGTATAGCTGACAGATTAGGGTCTGAGTGTTGCTAGTAGCTCTTCACAGTCACATGTGTATTACTGAAAATCCAGTCAGTTGAGACATCCAGAGGTCTCCAGGGGACAGACTGGACATTTTTATTTTTTGGTTTAGGTGTAGTAAAGAGGATGGAGAGGCGCAGGTGAATGGAAAGTTCAAAAATGGGAAGTATAGTGTGAATTACGATAACAATCGGACCTGACTCACACGGACCTGACTCACGTGAACTTGGTTCACATGGACCTGACTCACACAGACCTAACTCACACGGACCTGGTTCACATGGACCTGACTCACACAGACCTAACTCACACGGACCTGGTTCACATGGACCTGACTCACACGGACCTGACTCACACGGACCTGGTTCACATGGACCTGACTCACACGGACCTGACTCACTTGAACCTGGTTCACATGGACCTGACTCACACGGACCTGACTCATTTGAACCTGGTTCACATGGACCTTGACTCACACGGACCTGATTCAAATGGACCTGACCCGCACGAACCTGACTCACACGGACCTGACTCACACGGACCTGACTCACACACGGACCTGATTCACATGGACCTGACCCACACGGACCTTGTACCATTAAAATGCCGCAACTTATAAACAAAACCAACTGAGAGATGCCAGAGCTTGTGACTCCACCTCACCTTGAGCTGGAAGACGACCTCGGGGGCCAGTGAGGGCACGTGGACGAGGGAGACCCCGAGGGCGTGCTGCTGCAGAGGCTGCGGCAGGGGGGAGAGGCCAGGATGGGAGTCGAAGAGCAGCATTAGGGAGCATCCAGTCATCTCCCGCTCCACCACCTCCGCTAGCAGCTGCCTCGCCTCCACCTCCACCGACGGCCGCCTCCCCACCCGCCTCCACTGCCAGAGACCAGACCAGTTGGTTGGTGTGTAAACCTCGGTTAAACTCTACTACTTTCCCTGTGGCAGGGAGAGTACTCTCCCCTGTGGCAGGGAGAGTACTCTACCCTGTGGCAGGGAGAGTACTCTCCCCTGTGGCAGGGAGAATACCCAGCAGGTCAGGGTTACACCAAATTAAGGGAGAACTCACATCTAAGTGTTAGAATCCCCTCATAATACTCACCATCACACTGGGGAAGGTTGATGGTAGTGCCTCCCCTGTGGCACTGGAGTGCCCAGGTGCCTGTGCCTCCCCTGTGGCACTGGAGTGCCCAGGTGCCTGTGCCTCCCCTGTGGCACTGGAGTGCCCAGGTGCCTGTGCCTCCCCTGTGGCACTGGAGTGCCCAGGTGCCTGTGCCTCCCCTGTGGCACTGGAGTGCCCAGGTGCCTGTGCCTCCCCTGTGGCACTGGAGTGCTCAGGTGCCTGTGCCTCCCCTGTGGCACTGGAGTGCCCAGGTGCCTGTGCCTCCCCTGTGGCACTGGAGTGCCCAGGTGCCTGTGCCTCCCCTGTGGCACTGGAGTGCCCAGGTGCCTGTGCCTCCCCTGTGGGAGCGGGGAAGGGTGGAGGAAGGGGTTGTGGTGCCACACTGACCACCACCACTACACCAGCCAAGACACGGCACCAGGCGGCCATGGCCGAAGTGCCAGTGTCGACCCTTACTTCCTGGCACTCGTTTAAATAATGAAGCGCTGCCACCCCCTCTCTGCGCTGGCCACGGCGGGGGGGTGTTGACACCCAGGTGGTGACACCCAGGTGGTGACACCCAGGTGGTGACACCCAGGTGATGACACCCAGGTGGTGACACCCAGGTGGTGACACCCAGGTGGTGACACCCAGGTGGTGACACCCAGGTGGTGACACCCAGGTGATGACACCCAGGTGGTGACACCCAGGTGATGACACCCAGGTGGTGACACCCAGGTGATGACACCCAGGTGGTGACACCCAGGTGGTGACACCCAGGTGGTGACACCTAGGTGGTGACACCCAGGTGATGACACCCAGGTGGTGACACCCAGGTGATGACACCCAGGTGGTGACACCCAGGTGATGACACCCAGGTAGTGACACCCAGGTGGTGACACCCAGGTGGTGACACCCAGGTGGTGACACCCACGTGGTGACAACCAGGTGGTGACACCCAGTTGATGACACTCAGGTGGTGACACCCAGGTGCTGACACCCAGGTGCTGACACCCAGGTGCTGACACCCAGGTGCTGACACCCAGGTAGTGACACCCAGGTAGTGACACCCAGGTGGTGACACCCAGGTGGTGACACCCAGGTGGTGACACCCAGGTGCTGACACCCAGGTGGTGACACTCAGGTTGTGACACCCAGGTAGTGACACCCAGGTAGTGACACCCAGGTGGTGACACCCAGGTGGTGACACCCAGGTGGTGACACCCAGGTGGTGACACCCAGGTGACAACACCCAGATAACGACACCCAGGTGACGACACACAGATAACGACACCCAGATAACGAACCCCCCCCCCCCCCCCCCCCCGCCCTAGACACACTCACACACACCGTGATAAATCACCATTGTAATTCAATAATTAAAACCCTCTCAATTCTCGGAACACCACCGTCAGTGTCTTGGCGCCCGACATTTTATTGTTTCCAGATCTGGTAATCATTGAACGAATAAAAAACAGTACTAATGATATAATAAAAGTAAACACGATCACAAGAAATAGCAGAAATAGTAATTAATATCAATAGTCTCATCAGGTCATGAAACAGTGAAACAATAGTCATGTAAGTTGGAGAAAAACATGAAAGGCAAAAGAAAACATTATTTTTGTTTGCCTGTCGAGTATGATACAATTAAGAACAGGAGCTAAGAGACTGAAGGATACATTGTTTGTGTCTAGTTGATAAATATTATATTGTTTATAACAAGTAAACACAGAATTGTTTTTGTTTTGACCTGAAGACAGAGGAATATACATAGTTTGGCTAATGGTTAATTAAGGAGTTCCTGCAAGAAACATACAATTTACAATGTTATTTTTGGTCGTGAAGTTTATATATAAACATATGTATAACTTATGTATAAAATTATGTAAAACTTATGTTTAAACTCATATATATATATATATATATATATATATATATATATATATATATATATATATATATATATATATATATATATATATATATATATATATATATATATATTATTAAATATGACCGAAAAAGTAAGATTAATAATTCTAACACGAATTTCCTCAATATTTCTTATGGTTCTTTTCACTGTCGATGGTAATTGAAAAATCAGTTATCCAAAATTCATTTTTATTTTCAAAATTCATAGACTAGAAATAAAAATGAATTTTGGAGAACTGATTTTTCAATTACCATCGACAGTGAAAAGAAACATAAGAAATATTGAGAAAATTCGTGTTAGAATTATTAATCTTACTTTTTCGGTCATATTTAATAATATATGTCTATGTAATATATAACTAAATAAGGTGTATACTTTATATATGACATATCTATATACAGCGCTTAAATAAGTAGTATGTATATAATTATGCATGATGAAAAGCCATGTATAATGTATATGTGTAATGTATAGCAATGAAACAGTCGGTTTCTGACTAATAAATTCATCTGAATAAGACTTCATGACACTAGGACAATAGCCCTCATGACACTAGGACAATAGCCCTCATGACACTAGGACAATAGCCCTCATGACACTAGGACAATAACCCTCATGACACTAGGACAATAGCCCTCATGACACTAGAACAATAGCCCTCATGACACTAGGACAATAGCCCTCATGACACTAGGACAATAGCCCTCATGACACTAGGACAATAGCCCTCATGACACTAGGACAATAACCCTCATGACACTAGGACAATAGCCCTCATGACACTAGGACAATATCCCTCATGACACTAGGACAATATCCCTCATGACACTAGGACAATAGCCCTCATGACACTAGGACAATAGCCGTCATGACACTAGGACAATAGCCCTCATGACACTAGGACAATAGCCGTCATGACACTAGGACAATAGCCCTCATGACACTAGGACAATAGCCCTCATGACACTAGGACAATAGCCCTCATGACACTAGGACAATAGCCCTCATGACACTAGGACAATAGCCCTCATGACACTAGGACAATAGCCCTCATGACACTAGGACAATAGCCCTCATGGCACTAGGACAATAGCCGTCATGATACTAGGACAATAGCCCTCATGATACTAGGACAATAGCCCTCATGACACTAGGACAATAGCCCTCATGATACTAGGACAATAGCCCTCATGACACTAGGACAATAGCCCTCATGACACTAGGACAATAGCCCTCATGACACTAGGACAAAAGCCCTCATGACACTAGGACAATAGCCCTCATGACAATAGGACAATAGCCGTCATAACTCTAGGACAATAACCCTCATGACACTAGGACAATAGCCCTCATGACACTAGGACAATAGCCCTCATGATACTAGGACAATAACCCTCATGACACTAGGACAATAGCCCTCATGACACTAGGACAATAGCCCTCATGACACTAGGACAATAGCCCTCATGACACTAGGACAATAGCCCTCATGACACTAGGACAATAGCCCTCATGACACTAGGACAATAGCCCTCATGACACTAGGACAATAGCCCTCATGACACTAGGACAATAGCCCTCATGACACTAGGACAATAGCCCTCATGACACTAGGACAATAACCCTCATGACACTAGGACAATAGCCCTCATGACACTAGGACAATAACCCTCATGACACTAGGACAATAACCCTCATGACACTAGGACAATAGCCCTCATGACACTAGGACAATAGCCGTCATGACACTAGGACAATAGCCCTCATGACACTAGGACAATAGCCGTCATGACACTAGGACAATAGCCCTCATGACACTAGGACAATAGCCCTCATGACACTAGGACAATAGCCCTCATGACACTAGGACAATAGCCCTCATGACACTAGGACAATAGCCCTCATGACACTAGGACAATAGCCCTCATGACACTAGGACAATAGCCCTCATGGCACTAGGACAATAGCCGTCATGATACTAGGACAATAGCCCTCATGATACTAGGACAATAGCCCTCATGACACTAGGACAATAGCCCTCATGATACTAGGACAATAGCCCTCATGACACTAGGACAATAGCCCTCATGACACTAGGACAATAGCCCTCATGACACTAGGACAATAGCCCTCATGACACTAGGACAATAGCCCTCATGACAATAGGACAATAGCCGTCATAACTCTAGGACAATAACCCTCATGACACTAGGACAATAGCCCTCATGACACTAGGACAATAGCCCTCATGATACTAGGACAATAACCCTCATGACACTAGGACAATAGCCCTCATGACACTAGGACAATAGCTCTCATGACACTAGAACAATAGCCCTCATGACACTAGGACAATAGCCGTCATGACACTAGGACAATAGCCCTCATGACACTAGGACAATAGCCCTCATGACACTAGAACAATAGCCCTCATGACACTAGGACAATAGCCCTCATGACACTAGGACAATAGCCCTCATGACACTAGGACAATAGCCCTCATGACACTAGAACAATAGCCGTCATGACACTAGAACAATAGCCCTCATGACACTAGGACAATAGCCCTCATGACACTAGGACAATAGCCGTCATGACACTAGGACAATAACCCTCATGACACTAGGACAATAGCCCTCATGACACTAGGACAATAGCCGTCATGACACTAGGACAATAACCCTCATGACACTAGGACAATAGCCGTCATGACACTAGGACAATAACCCTCATGACACTAGGACAATAGCCGTCATGACACTAGGACAATAACCCTCATGACACTAGGACAATAACCCTCATGACACTAGGACAATAGCCCTCATGACACTAGGACAATAGCCGTCATGACACTAGGACAATAGCCCTCATGACACTAGGACAATAGCCGTCATGACACTAGGACAATAGCCCTCATGACACTAGGACAATAGCCCTCATGACACTAGTACAATAGCCCTCATGACACTAGGACAATAGCCCTCATGACACTAGGACAATAGCCCTCATGACACTAGGACAATAGCCCTCATGACACTAGGACAATAGCCCTCATGGCACTAGGACAATAGCCGTCATGATACTAGGACAATAGCCCTCATGATACTAGGACAATAGCCCTCATGACACTAGGACAATAGCCCTCATGATACTAGGACAATAGCCCTCATGACACTAGGACAATAGCCCTCATGACACTAGGACAATAGCCCTCATGACACTAGGACAAAAGCCCTCATGACACTAGGACAATAGCCCTCATGACAATAGGACAATAGCCGTCATAACTCTAGGACAATAACCCTCATGACACTAGGACAATAGCCCTCATGACACTAGGACAATAGCCCTCATGATACTAGGACAATAACCCTCATGACACTAGGACAATAGCCCTCATGACACTAGGACAATAGCCCTCATGACACTAGGACAATAGCCCTCATGACACTAGGACAATAGCCCTCATGACACTAGGACAATAGCCCTCATGACACTAGGACAATAGCCCTCATGACACTAGGACAATAGCCCTCATGACACTAGGACAATAG